TGAGCCACCGCGCCCGGCCTCATACCTCAGTTTTTGAATGGAATGAAAGGGCCTTGAGTGTTCATTCTGGCTGTGTGTTATTCACTCTTATCACATACAAGAGACATCAGTAATTATTGGAAGATATGGCTCTAAATCTCCAAATTCAGGGGTCTGTGTAACTGTTAAATTGAACAGAAACCTAGAGATATATTAAGAAAAACAGTGGGCTGGGCGTGATGGCTCACGCCTGTAATCCTAGTACTTTGGTAGACTGAGGCAGGCGAATTGCCTGAGTTCAGGAGCTTGAAACCAGCCCCAGCAACATGGTAAAACCCCATCTCAGGTAAAAATACAAAAAATTAGCCAGGTGTGGTGGCATGGGCCTGTAGTCCCAGCTGATCGGGAAGCTGAGGCAGGAGAATTGCTTGAACCCGGGAGGCAGAGGTTGCAGTGAGCCAAGATTGCACCACTGCACTCCAACCTGGGTGACAGAGCAAGACTCTGTCTCCAAAAACAAAAGAAAAAGAAAAATGGTGCTCCCTTTTCCATTTCTCTGCTGACTATGAACAAACACACTCTCATAGTTTTATCAATTCTTTGGTAACAATTAGAAAATACAAGCACTAGTTCGCGTTGACAGCCCAGGATCTGTGAATTCTCTGCTCTGAGCCCATCCGGACTTCCCCAATCCCAGCTTTCTCTCCTTTGAAAACACTAAGACTAATGTCACTGCATTGGTTTTTACTAGAGTCAATTACCTGTCATGCCTGGAACAGGGATCGTACCCAGATTGCCCTTAGTCAAAATAATCACGAACTGCACATCTATAAGAAGTACGGGAGCCAGTGGGTGAAAGCTTATGAACTCAGTGAGCACAATGGACACATCACAGGTATTGACTGGGTTCCCAAGAGCAACCGCATCGTCACTTACGGGGTAGACCGCGATGCCTATGTCTGGAGTCAAAAAGATGGTGTCTGGAAACCAACCGTGATGATCCTGAGAATTAATCGTGCAGCTGCTTTTGTGAAGTGGTCCCCCCTAGAGAACAAATTTGCTGTGGGAAGTGGAGCACGACTCATTTCTGTTTGTTGAGTCCGAAATGACTGGTGAGTGAGCAAGCACATTAAAAAGTCGATGCGCTCCACAATCCTCAGCTTGGACTGGCATCCCAACAATGTTTTGCTGGCAGCAGGATCATGTGACTTCAAATGCAGAGTGTTTTCTGCCTACATTAAAGAAGTGGATGAGAAGCCAGTCAGCATGCCCTGGGGCAGCAAGATGCCTTTTGGGCAGCTGATGTCAGAGTTTGGTGGCAGTGGCACTGGTGGCTGGGTCCACGGGGTAAGCTTCTCTGCCAGTAGGAGCCGCCTGGCCTGGGTCAGCCACGACAGCACTGTGTCTGTTGCTGATGCCTCAAAAAGTGTGCAGGTCTCAACTCTGAGGACGGAGTTCCTGCTGCTCCTGAGTGTGTCATTGGTCTCGGACAACAGCATCGTGGCTACTGGCCATGCCTGCCGCCCAGTGCTCTTTAACTACGATGACCATGGCTGCCCGACCTTCATCTCCAAGTTAGACATTCCAAAACAGCATCCAACGCAACACGTCTGCCATGGAACGCTTCCGCAACATGGACAAGAGGGCCACGACTGAGGACGGCAACATGGCCTTGGAGACTCCGCACCAGGATAGCATCACTCAAGTCTCTATTTATGAGGTGGACAAGCAAGATTGTCGCAAATTTTCCGCTACTGGCATTGATGAAGCCATGACAATTTGGGATTTCAAGACCCTTGAGTTTTCCATCCAGGTCCTCCGGATGATGTGAAGCTGAGTGAGCCTTTGCCATCCAGAATGACAAACTGTGGTCAACAGCAGCTGTGCCGTGGCACGATGGCGAGGAAGCCAGACCCAAGGAAACACTGAAAACACATCACGCCAATGCTGTGTGT